AGGCCGTTTCGAGCCCGCCCTCGGCTCCTGGGCAGAGGGGTTAGCTCCCCTTGGCTCCTGGGGCACGACGGTGGAGCCACCGGCCTCCGCTGGCACCTCAGGCGTGGTGGTAGAACCGCCTACCCCTGTTGGCTCATGGGGTAGGCCGACAGTATGGCCCACCTCCGCTGGCTCCTCGGATGTACCCTCCTCTCCGTGGAACAGGAAGGGTCCCGATGCCTGCAAGGATGAACTGATACCTATCAGCGCATCCTCATTCTCCAGGTCATCCCACTTAATGTCGCCGGCTTCCTCGTTCGTCGGCGTCATCATCATCATCATCATCATCACTATCAGTGGCCTCCCCTTGTTCCCACGCCTGCATCTTCTGTTGTTTCTTCCTCTTCCTGTCCTCCTTTACCTTCCTTAGCCACTCACCCTTGGCGTGATTCACCGTCCTCATGGCCAAATCCCTTGGCAACGGTGCCGGGTGATCCGTGAGGATGAGATCCCTTGGCTGGCACTGCCCCTCTCAAAGTTAGTATCAAGGGGTCAGAAAATCAATTGAAGAGAAGGCAAGAGAGGGAGAAACTTACGAAGATGACGTAGCCTGGTTTCGGCCACATTGGAGGATGTCCCGACATTGGGAAGATGAAATCAAGGGGGGCACCCATGTTGTCCCGTGAGGGCTCCATTGCCTCCTTGATGCGTTGCGCGATCTCGAAGTTGGGTAGCGCCCCTCGGCGAGCGTCGTTCCATCGAACGATGCCTCGGGCGCCATCGCGTATAATGGGAGCGCGCGTGTCATCAATGGCTCCACCCTCCTTGTGTGGTAGGCCCTAATGACGCCTGACCCCTTCAGACCATTCTCCTTTAGGATGCGGATGGCGGCGATGTGGTCCCGGATCTTCTTCTTGTCCTTCTCCGGGACGCCCCACTTCCTCCACGACTTCGGGGCCTCTTCGATCAGGCGCCCGGTGAACTCTGGCAGAGGGACAGTGGCGTCGTTCTTGAGGTAGAACCACTGCAAATGCCACCCCTTGTTGGACGTCGAGAGCCGCATGGGCGGGTACTCGCCGACCTAATTATTCTAAAGCTAGATGCCGGCGCACCCTATCGACATATGCAGCTCCTGCCTGCCGCTCTTCTCCCTCTTCTTTTGGAGGGTGACAACGAAGAAGTACCTCCACAGATTGAAGTGGGGGCTGATCCCTAGGAACCCATCGCATAGGGCGACGAACACCGCCATGTGCTAGATCCCGTTGGGGTTGAGATGTTGTAGCTCGATCTTGTAGTAGTGCAGCAGCCTCCGAAGAAATTTGTGGGTGGGGGTCACGAACCCACGCTCATGGAAGTGGGCGAACGACACCACATAGCCGTCGGGCAGTGACGACAGATCCTCCACGCTGGGCAGCAGCCACTCCTCTGCTGAGGTCCATGCGCAGAGAAGACCACAGTGGACGAGGCCTTCCATGCGCTGGAAGGTGATGTCAGAGCGGCACCACGGATCCATTGGAGGTGGGGGTGGACGAATACGGGCTCGACAACGACGGAGATGCGAAGGCAGGAAACCTAAGCGATTGGCGGTGGTGGTCATGGCTGCGGATCCAAGGATGCAAGGTATGGAACTCGGGGGGCGAACCTTTTGGTTTTATAGGGGCGATGGGTCCGAGGAAACCAATCGCCCATCTAGATCTCCACGCTTGCCATGATTTGCCACAACGTCTCGCCGCGAGATGTGCGCACGCAATCTCTGTCCGTTCCCTCGAAAAACTCGCCGGACATTTCGCCTCTCCGGACAGGCCACGACTCGTCACAAGTAAGAGGAATATGGATATAAAAACACCTCTATGGCCTGTCTGGGCCTGGGAGTTCAAAGGTTGTCCCATCGATGGGTTCGACAACCACTCCGAGCACCCTTAGGGTAAAGGGTGGAGAGGGATGGGCCCGCAAGCGGCTAGTACCCCGACACACGAGTGTCATGGGCATCCTGACCCATGATCGAGTCTCGACCGGGTACGGTCCATGGTTTTTCCCCAAAGAAAGGCAGAGAGCCCTTAGGACCGGTCGAACAGACCCGAGAACTATATGGATTGATCACTGAGAGTCTAGAGTCAGTCACTAGTTGACCAAAGCCGAATCCCCACGAATGGGATGTCGGGGCCCCACTCAGACTAGCCAACTAACAACTCATCGAGCACCGTAGCTCGCCCATAGAGGAAAATCATGGCACGGCGCAGCCCCTTTGGTTGCGGAAACCGTGGACGGGGTGACGATCATAGAGACAAGCCGACCCTCGACCGGACCCCCGCTAAGTGTGGGGGATCAAGGAAAGTTGGGCTCACAAGGAGACCGAGCGCATGGTCGTAGAACGACACCCCCCGAAGGGGTCAAAATCAGGCAAGGACCTTTTTCGACCCACCAAACCTCGCGGCTAGACCCCCGAGGGGTCCGATCTCGGTAAAAGGGAATCACCATACCCAGGTCATGCCATGGGCGACAAAAGAAGGCCAAGGCCATCAGAGTCCTCACGCTCAGAAAAACCTCCAAAAGAGTTTTCTACTCCTCCACAGGCTCGGGGGCTACTGTCGTGGACCAATACTAGGGTACCTAAAGAGGAGGAGCTAATGACCATCAATATTGACTCATCCAAGCAGTCAAGGATGAAAGCAACACTTCGCCCGGCCTCTAGGAGAGGGCACCACTTCGCCCGACCTTTGGGTCTACGCTTTGCCTCACCCGGCCTCTGGGGGAGGACTCCGCCTCGCCCGACCCTAAGGCTATGGGCTCCGCCTTGCTTGGCCTCTTGGGGAGGACTCCACCTCGCCCAACCCCGAGGCCACGAGCTCCACCTCGCTTGACCCTTGGGTCTGCATCTCGCCTTGCTCGACCCTTGGGTTTGCGCTCCACCTCGCCCGGCCTCTAGAGGAGGACTCCGCCTCACCCGACCCCGAGGCCGCGGACTTCGCCTCGCTCGACCCTTGGGTGCGCGCTCCACCTCGCCTGACCCTTGGGTTCGCGCTCCGCCTTGCTCGACGGAGACCCATACCGCCGCCAACCACTTCAGGTCCAAGCATATGGGCCTGACTCAAAGCTCTGACACCAGGGAAGAGACCGACACACCCTAATGTAACCCGTGGCCTTGACAGGCCATACCGGAGGATTTGAACATCATTGGGCGTACTGATGCTGTTCTGCCTAACCCCCATACGAACACTAACGGGCACGTCAGTTCACCATGACGTTCGTAGGACGGAGTGGAGTGCCATGCCCAGCATATGACGCCTACGCATGGTGCCAGTGACGGACAGGACCGCAACGCGAAGCCATCCCTGTTAACATCTACAAGGTCGGCGGGACCCGCATGACGGAGAAGAAAGACCTGACGATCCTGAAGGACTTCTCCTCTCTCTTTCTCTCTCTCATTCTCCTCTCTTTCTCCGCTGTAACCCGTGCTTTCCCTTAGCCTATAAAAGGGAAAACAGGGCCTCCCATTAGAGGCATCTAACCATCGGACCATCGCAACACACCGGATCGATCCAGGCCAGACCTGATCAAACCACCTCGAACCGATCAGAGCATAACACAAGCATACGCCCGAGCAGCAACCGAGCTCTCGGCACCCGTTCATCCTTTTCACCAGAGACTTGGAGTCTGTCCCTCTCTCGCCCGTTTGTAACCCCTATTGTAAACTTTCAGTGCTAGTAACACGAGCAGCAGCGATAAACTGGATGTAGGGACATTCTACCCGAACCAGTATAAACCTCGTGTTCTCTAAACACACCATCCGAGCCAAACACGTAATATTAGAAATTTACTTGTTGGTGGTAACTCGAAACACCGACAAATAGAAAAATCTAGATGGTAGCACATAGATCATGATGCTTGGACAAATAGGATCAAGTGTCATGAACATGATAGAGTGACACTTATGTTCATACTAATAAATAGTACTAAGTATGATGTAGTTATATGACACTTGTGTTGTCATCAAAGAAACTTGGACCTCAAGTAGACCAATTATGATAGACAATGAGAGCATTTACTAGCAAATAAGCACCAAAAAGACTTCAAAGATTCAATCAATTATAATTTTGGCACCATAAGATAAAGAATGATTTTTAGAAAAGAAATAAGAAACTAGTTTCATATTTTTGAGCTAAATCAATTTGTTTATAAATTTTTAAGAAGTTGCATATTTTTTTTAAAAAATATTTGGATATTTTTAAGGAAAAATTAGTTCTATAATATTGAAAGAATTGCATTTTGGGACACGTGAAATATCCATTACCCAAACTGGCATTCTGTCACCGTTTGAAGCTAACACCTTGAATCCACCTCCTCCCCTTCTCTTTCATGTGTGCGAGATGTTTCAATGGTATTTTATGAAATCACGATTCTTTCAGTGCTATAGACTAATTTGTTTTGTAACATTTCTAGTTCAAATTTACCTCCTTCAACTTTCAACTTAGGGCCTATTTAGGTGAGCTAGAGCTAGGTACTAGTTGGCAAGAAATTAGCTCAAATTAGTTAAGGTTGGCTAGCAACTAGTTGAAGACTTATCTAAAAATTTAGACCACCTATTAGCCATTTTGTTTGTATGCACTAGAGCTAATTTAGGCTAATTTTTAGTAGCTAGTGTTTAGCCTTTGTATCCAAATAGACCCTTAGTATGATTTACCTCTTTTGTGGCTAGCATGATGCCACATAGGACATTTGATGTGGCGCCATGTAAATAAAAATCACCATAAAAATTGCTCAGGTGCAGTAAAAGTTGAATGATCAAAAAATGGTTTTATTATAGATTTTTTTTAGAAAATAGTTTATTGTGGATGAAGATGAAAATTAGACGACTGCAAAATTTGAGGCGGGTCAAAAAGAACTTTTTTTTATGTATATGGGCTGCGTAAGGGGCCGAGCCGAACCAAATGACCCTATCGTGTCTGTGTAAAAATTCCCAAAACCCCGCGCCACGGCCACACAAGCTCCCGTCACCCGCCGGTCACCACGGCGGCTCCCACATGCCGCCGTCCCCGCCACTGTCGCCTGTGCTTCACCGCCTCCTCTCCTTGCTCCCGCGCCTCCCCTCCCCACGGCACCTACTGCAGGCGCACGCCTTCCTCCTCCCCCGCGGCGGCCACCGCCACCCGCGTCTCCTTTCCGCGCTCCTCCTCGCTTCCCTCCGCCTCGTGCCCCACCCGCAGCAAACCAGCGATCACGCCGCCGCCCTCCTCCGCCGCGTACACCCCTCTGTGTACCTCAGGGCCGCCGCGCGCCTCCCGACGCATCTACTCCGCAGGAGCCTCCTCGGCCCGCAGCTCCACTCCCTGCTCCTCCGCACCGGCCACGTGGCCTCCGACACCCACGTCTCCGCCAGCCTCGTCCAGCTGTACTGCACCTGCGGACACGTCGCCGACGCGCGCAGCGTGTTCCACGAGATGGCCGTTAGGGACGTTGTGGTCTGGAACGTTATGATCGCCGGTTATGTGAAGGCCGGGGTCCTGGTCCACGCGCGGGAGTTGTTCGATGTTATGCCGGAGCGGAATGTGGTGTCATGGACCACGGTGATCGGCGGGTACGTGCAGATGAGGCGTCCGGAGGAGGCAGTCGAGGTGTTTCGAAGGATGCAGGTGGAGGGCATCGAGCCTGACGGTGTGGCATTGCTGTCGGTTCTGGCGGCATGTGGGGATCTGGGTGCGGTCGATTTAGGGGAGTGGGTGCACAGATTTGTCGTCAGGCGGGGCTTGAGCCAGGAGATACCACTGATGAATTCGATCATAGACATGTACATGAAATGTGGGTGTATTGAGAAGGCAGTGGAGGTGTTTGAGGGTATGGAGGAGAAGAGTGTCGTGACTTGGACGACACTAATTGCTGGATTTGCATTGCATGGCCTCGGTTTGCAAGCTGTTGACATGTTTCGCCGGATGGAGAGGGAGAATATGGCGCCAAATGATGTCACTTTTCTAGCAATCTTGTCAGCGTGTAGCCATGTTGGACTAACTGATCTGGGTCGCTGGTATTTCAATATCATGGTGTCTCAGTACAGGATTAAGCCACAAGTTGAACATTATGGGTGCATGGTTGATCTACTAGGCCGTGCTGGTTGTTTAAAGGAGGCCCAAGATTTGGTTAAGGACATGCCTTTGAAGGCAAATGCAGCAATATGGGGAGCTCTTCTTGCTGCAGCTAGGACCCATGGTGATGCTGATCTTGGAGAACAAGCCTTGGTGCACCTAATTGAGCTTGAGCCTAACAACAGTGGGAACTATATACTCCTATCGAATATTTTTGCAGAACAGGAAAGGTGGGATGATGTGAGCAAACTTCGAAAGGCGATGAAAGAAAGGGGACTGAGGAATGTGCCAGGGGCAAGTTCCATTGAAGTTGATGGCATGGTTCATGAGTTCACTTCCAGGGATGGGTCTCATCCTTTCTTACATAAGATATGTGAAGTATTATGTGAGATCAACACTAACATGAAATCTGTTGGTTTTGCTTCTGTTTTCCCTGAAGTACTACATGCTATTGAAGAAGGCTAAGATCACTATGCAAGAGCATTATTCGCATAATTGACAGATATGCTCAGAAGATATCTGATTCTTTATATGACATCAATGCTTAAAACAAAAAACAATACCAGTGGTAAACTGAAGTCAATTGAGTATATACATTGCTCTATGGATTACTTCTTTCTGTGGAAGAAGGATTGAATATTCTTTTAGAGTTTTTTTTTACACTTATCAAGTGTATATATATTTGTGTCACATGGGATGTGCTGAGGCTCTACAAAGGATTTTGACTTAAGAGTAGGTGGTGCTTGGTACATAAAGTCAAACTCAAAAACACTGATCTACATAGACTTACTTTTGCACAATAGATTTGATTTTCTTGAAGCATATGGACCTTTACAGGTATGAAAATCAGCTGCAGGGCCTCGTGACTTGATATAAACTTATGGTTGTCTCCCCAGTTGACATGCTTCTCCTTTTGCATATATTTGCAACAAAATACACCACTACTTTACAGCTTTAGCTCATAAGTTCTAGTAATTTAAGTTGCTATCTGAAAGATGTCATAGTACGAGTCATTGCTGTGACATGTTATTTTTAATGGCCTATATAGAGCCCAATCAGCTGAAATAGCTTGGAGATGTAAATAACTCTCCCCCAAAGTTCAGATATTGGTCTATATAGAGCCCAATCGGCTGAAATAGCTTGGAGATGTAAATAACTCTCCCTCAAAGTTCAGATATTGCAATAGCTTCTCTGCATACTGTAACAATCATTTATGAGAAATTGAGAATGATACTACAAAATTCGTCATATATAGTATTTTTTCCCATTTTCCCCCAGTTTTCTTGAAATTATCCATTTATATATTATGGAAGCCTCAGCTACACAGCTCTTTTTTCTCAAAGGTATTCTTCAATCCTTTAGTGACTCAGCTGGTCTGAAAATTAACTTCTCTAAATCAATGATGGTCCCCATCAATGTGAGCAATGAAAAACTGAGTCATCTAGCAAGGACCTTTGGTTGTGCAACTGGTTCTTTCCCCTTTACATACTTGGGTCTGCCCATGGGTTTAACTAGACCAAAAGTGGATGACTTCCTTCCTCTCATAAGCAAGTGTGAGGAAAGACTGAATTATATCTCACCCTTTCTCAGCCAAGCTGGCAGGCTTGAACTCACTAATTCAGTTTTGACACCAGTTCCAACCTACACAATGTGCTCAATTGCTCTGCCCAAAACAAAGCATTGCCTTTGGAGAGGTTCAGAGGAAAATGCCAGGAAAGTTGCAAAGGCTGCTTGGCCCATGGTCTGCATCCCAAAAGAGGAAGGAGGACTAGGTGTGCTAAGCCTCCAAACCCAAAATGAAGCCTTGCTGCTCAAACACTTGCACAAATTCTTTAACAGAAGTGACTTACCATGGGTAGGACTGATTTTGGACAAACACTATAGAAATGGCAGGTTGCCAAACTCTACAGTCCCAAAAGGATCTTTTTGGCGGCGCGATGCTCTAAAATTGCTGGATAAGTATAAAGGTATGGCAAGTGTGCTGGTGTCTAATGGGCAAACCTGTCTGCTTTGGGAAGATCTTTGGAATGGTCAAGTAAGAAACTTACAGTTTCGAGAGCTATTCTCTTTTGCAAAAAACAAGCTAATAAGCCTAAGTAGGGCCCATGATGCTACTGTTCTTTATGATCTCTTTAACCTGCCAGTCTCAGTTGAAGCCTACAACCAGATGCAAGAGCTCCAGTTTGAACTTTCAACATTAGTGCTTGACGACATGAATGATAGTTGGACCTATATTTGGGGCTCCTCTCAGTTTTTATCCTCCAAGGCTTATAGAATTCTAACAGCTCACACCCAAGTTGACCCAATCTTCAAATGGCTTTGGAAGACTTCCTGTCAAGGAAAACACAAGGTATTCTTTTGGCTTGTCCTTAAAGACAGGTTAAGCACAAGAAACATGATAAGAAGAAGAGGAATGCATATAGAAGACTATCAATGTGTACTCTGTCAACAATCCTCAGAAGAAACAATAATGCACTTGCTCTTCTACTGTCCTTTTGCTAAAGATTGTTGGGGCTTGGTGAAGTTCCAGTTTGCATATCACCTCACAATTCCACAAATCTTTCAAGCTTGGAAAACCTTCCTGAAGGTTGATTTCTCCCTCGACATCTTCATCCTTTTCTGTTGGGCTGTTTGGATGATGAGAAACGATGTGATTTTCAGAAACAAAAACCCCTCTGGCAGACTGCAAAAGATACATTACAGTGGAATTACTCGTGCTACTGCACAGGTCGAAAGCTAGGATCACCCCCCTCTTAGATTCATGGATCAGTTCTCTTCTGTAATTTACATGCTTTTCTTTCTCTCCTTCTCTGTACCCTGAATCTCTCCCTCTTCTGCTTGCTGCTTTTCGTTTTTGTTTGTTTTACTTCCCTGTTTTAATAAATTTGCAGTAGGTGCCCCTGGCTCCTCCTGATTCCTCAAAAAAAAAAAAAATCCATTTATAATCAAAGAAACTATTTCAGACTAGCAATTCACCTGCCACTGTGGCATATTGGCAGTTTACATTTCATTGTGGCAATATATATGCACTGTGCCCATCGATTCCTGAAGTAGTTACTCTTACTAAATTGTATACAACTTCGTCGAATCCTTTTAAGATGGTGAAATTCTAGTTAAATCAGAGTGTTAAGCTGTTGAAGAAGTCTTGCTCTAATCCAAGGTTCATGGTGCCTAGTCCAAGAAGAGCACCAATCCATGCTGTTCGAAGGGCTCGAATGATCTTTGTCAACTTACCTGTAGAGAAGAACAAAATCAGTAAATATAGAGCTTCCCAATTAGGCACAATATGCCCATTGGTATAACTGTCAATGTGGAAGCAAAAACCATGAAATTCATAGAATGAAAAGCCGGACTGGAGATCGAACCGGTCAAGCTACTGGTTCACTGGTCCAACATTAGTCTATTGTCTAATGTACTAAATTAATGTGCAAACATCAAACTTATTTCTTGTCCATCACAAAACCAGTTCACCGGTTCATCATAAAACTGGCCGACTGAACCTGTTCAATTGAATGGTTACTCTTTTAACTGAACCAAACAGTGAGGTTGCCAGTTTGACCAGTTCAATGGTCCAACCCACAAACCGGTTCGGTTTGTTGCACTATGATAAAATGAGCAGATTTAGTTTTTAGTCTAGTTTGTATGTTGAATATTCGGCCTTTTTTGGGAATTTAATCTACCTCAGTATATGAGTATCCTAAAATGTTTCACTTAGGTTTGGGACAGGCATCCCTGGCCAAGTTGATCATAACAGCTTTTCTGCAAATCCTTTCACCTACTTTGATACCAGTTTATAAGTAATAAATAAATCTAGATGATACTAGATGCATAATGTTCTTTTCATTGAAAATATATTTTCATGGAAGCTCATCCTCTAATGTTCAACGGAACTTACCTATATGGTGTTCATTGTCATGGAACTTGTTTTCAGGTTGCATGTTTGGAACAGCTTTTGGTCCCTTGTCTGGCTGCTCTGGCTTCCAGTTGCCGAGCTCTTCCTGCAGTGATCTTCTGCAACTTCCATGACACGCAAGCTTTTCATTCTTATGTTCCTTCATTTTGACATTGCTGCAAAGTTCTTTTGATGGAGGAGTATATAATTCTGTTCTTGTGAATTGATTATGAGCCCTGGTTTCCTTGATATCTTCTACATTTTGCGTGGGGAGGTTCAGGTCACTATCTTCATCCTGTGAGAGTTTAGAACCATTAGTCATTTCCTTCTGAACTGGTGAAGCAGTACTAGAATTGTAAGTTTCATATTCACTTACTTCAGTAATATCTAGCATCCTTTCACTGTGACATATGCCAGTGTTTTCAATGATTTGTTGATGAATCCAGCTGTCAATGTCTATAATGCCCATTTCCTCGGTTTTATCCTGCGTCTTCGCTGATTCTGCGAATGAAATCACTTGACCCTGTGGTGGTTTCTCATGTTCTGAGAAAATCACTTGTTTGGTCTCGTATTCTGATGTATCCTGGCTGCATTCTGTCCCATCTTGTATACTCGGTACCCAATTCATGTCACTTGTCATGGAGATACTGCATTCAGAACTGCATTCTGACTGCCAAGTCACAGCATTTACTGGCAGCCTTACAGACTCAGCATAAACTGAGGAAGGCCTTCTCTTTGGTGGCACTGGTGGTTTTGTCTTGTTACTAACAGGTATGTGTTTATTTAAGCCTATCCTATGCTGGCTAGACGCTGTTGGCTTCATAAACCTTGGTAACCTAGAAGAAACATCTCTCTGATTCTTAGAATTCCTTGTATTCTTTGACATGTCAGTTTTCAGCTCTTCACTGGATGGATGTGAAATGTCGAAATTTGTTTCAACAGATGGCTGAGGCCCTTTAAAATGCTCAATTGTTTCCTTGAGCTTCTTAATCTTTCTAATAATACCTTCACATTCTTGTTCTAGATCACTGATCTCCTGTTCTAATTCCATTAACAAATGTTCCTTTCTTGCTTTTACTTCCTGTATGTACAAGATCAAAACATTAGTTTTTTGCAGCAAAGATTGTGTGGAACCACATCCTTTACTCATCTGTGTTCATGGAGACATGGACACAGATTGTTATTACAATTTCTGGGACATCGAACATTTTTTGCAAGTTCAACATACTCTCATCTTGTTATTATCACTTGTCTTTGAAAATCAAAGCAGCCTGACATTGGCTTCTTATCTACTTTAATGTTTAGCTGGTCTCTTCCTTTTCTTTTCTTGACTATATACAAGCTAGCGTCACTGCAAATGCTTACTTGTGGTTCTTCATTTTCCAGGCGAATACTTCTGACTCTTGTTGCAAAACCCAAGGTACAGATGGTCTCACACAAATCATCCTCATTTGGACGGATATGAACAAGCATCAGAGTTTTGGACTCACATCCTGTCAACACGAATACACCAAGGTGAGCTAAAAGAAAACTGAGTTTGTAAAATAAGAAAGCAGCAATTTTCTGCATTTCT